TAAATACGTAGTACCTATTTCGGTTTCTTTTGTGCTAACTACACTCGAGGGGATAATTTGAGATTTTTATGGCAATGGTGTTCAAAGCCCATGAAAACGCTGTGCAAGTAATTAAGCATGAACATAGGCTAGTGAGGACGGGCCATAAGAATTATTCAGTGTGGTGAAATCATAATTACTAGAGACTATTGCTCGTTGCTTCGCTCCTATTATAGATACGTCGATAAACGTTAGCCATGAAGAAACAAGCTATGAAAAAAATACATGAGGTAAATATTTAAGGCGCAAACCTCTAGATATGGACGATTTTTTTCGCAACTTTAATAAAGAAGAAATGGTTTTAATTAATTTATCTATTTATTAATGGAGAATGAATAATGATGGAGTATTATAATTAATTAAGGTTAAGACGATGCTTAATTTATTAACGTTTAAAAATTATAACATACATTTTATTTTTAGTAATCTATTTAATAGTTTAACATTAATACTACGTTTTTATTGGGAATAAAAATTCATAATTATTATCATAGTCCGCCTACTTACGTCCACTGCTGGCCAAAGCCTTTCCTATGACACGTCACTGAGCGCGATCTCCAGCTCTACGCATCCAATCGCTGCTAGCCATTTTGTATACATCGTCACTCCACCTACATAATATATGGAGGGCGTTCTAGACTACGTTTGCAGAGCCGTCGTACCTTAAAGCACGTCTACCCCATTAGTCTTCGGTTCTGCTATAAATATCACCAACCTACTTCAGCTTGTTAATTCTTTGTAAAAAACGAAAATTCTTGATATTTCTATTATATAGAATAGCAATAATTAGTATATTATATAGGAAAATATAACATATGAAAACAATATACAGAAGTACCTACTGAATAACATGAAATGATAAAGTTATAGATATAATTTTAAACTAGGTTTAATTCTTAGTTTCATACATAGAAACTAAGTAATGGTAGCTGAAATGAAGTCACGTCTGATATAGTTTTAACTTCGAAATATCTTTACAACTTAATTAACACGTTTGAAGTATTTTACTTCTGAGAAAATTTGTCCAATACAAATTTCGTGTTGTATAGATATAAAAATTTACAATATTATATTATACTTTATAACATATACGAATACTGCTCTTTTCTCCTTTTATGCATAAGAATTATTATTTCTCTTAACTTTTGTAGTCTGAAATGTTATAGATAGGGCCTTTAGGCTAATAAAGTATCACGATTTTGAGTTTCTGATGTTTTACATCTCATAATTTGATGGTTTTTATATTTGCTTCTTACTCAAAAAAATAATTAGACCTATAGAACAATTAGTTGACAAAAGTTAGGCACACCAGCATTCAATTTTTGATATTTTATCAAAAGTCACGTTTTGTTTTATTTAATTTAAAGCGTAAAGCTACAAAAATGCATTGTATACTGCTATTTAATTTATTAAAAAAATATATTTGTAACTACATACATATATATATATATATATATATATATATATATATAGAATTTTATCATAATTATATATATGTCGAATCTGTACATTAAATATTTTTTGGAAAATCTTATTGAAATAATTCAATCATTACTGTTGATACAGAGGCAGTATCTATAATTTTTAGAATTTTCGTCTGTTTTTCTGTCTGGTTATCCCGGTCTGGGACATATAGGATACTTTTTACAGCGGGAAAATATCTCATGTCTGACAAACCTGTACTAAACGTCAGAAGTTAAAACGTAACTAGAGACGAACCCGAGCGGAGAGATAGTGAGTCGCTTGTCTACTATATTTTTTCTTAGCCACGTGTTAAACAACTATCGATTTCTCTGGACTGGAAATATTATAGTTAAATTACCTTAATACTTAAATTCTCTTAACAATTTTAATTACTCATAAGAAAGGAGACATTCATTTTCGGCCTAGAACTCTTTGACATTTTGGCCCAACTTAGTGTGAAATGAAAAGTCGGAAAAATAAAGTCAATTTTCTCTTCGACTTTGGATAAAGTATTCGCGCACCTAAATTCGCAATATAAGCTTTAAACTTTTTTCCGTGCCTAATTAAAAATAATACCATTATTGTTTTTTGTCAAAATTTATAAAAACTTTAAAGTAATTGTAGCGTATATTTATATTGGAGTTAAATATATGGAAAGTAATTGTTGTTGAAAGCTCGACAAAGCTAGTCAGCCCTTTATCTGAACAACCCTTGTTCATTCGAGCGAAGGTGTAAAAAAAAAGTAAATTGACCATGGAGTTTGCAACAGTGCCCAAATATCCGATGTGCTAAAAATTACTGTGCTTTTGTGTGCTTAAAAATATTATGCTGTTAACGTTATTTATTACGTATATAATAACAAAACAAAGGAAAATTTGCGTTTTCTTAATGTAAAAAAAACATTTTCATATTACCTACTGTCTCGAGCTTACAACTTTGCGGTTAGCGCTTACTATAAAAAGCTCAAGTTATAACTTTTAAACTTCTCTTTGCAGTTGAAATGGAACTTTGCATTGTTTTTAAATTAAATTTACTATTTATACAATGAAATGCATCTTCATTATCTCATGTTCATTATTGTTTATTTATTGTATTTGGATGAAATATGCAAGAAAGTTGGTGTGAAAACTAAGAACTATGTGGACGTTAACAGTTACATAAAGTTCATAAATACCTTCATAATATCCTCTAGTTGTTATCTAAAGTCATTAGTTGTAAAATTACGAACTTTGCTACACCTTAATATAAAGCATGGAAGATTTTATTCATATTCCACGTAAAATGTTTGCACAAAAATTTATATTCCAATATGGAGTTGTCGAAGAATTACTTTTGGGAAATATGGAATTTATTAAAGAATCAAAACTTAATTATCTTTTAAGTCTTCTTAAAAACTTGGCCAGATTTAGAGGTTTTTAAAAGTGAAACTCAATTTTGGCTTGATATATTTGCGAGGCGGGATTTATTGAGATCAAACTTATTTTGGCGTTATGAACGGAGAATTTATAAAACATATTTTTAGTACTTAATTTATTAGGGTGTATTCAGGTTACTGAATTACAATTATTTTGTTTCGTTAAAATTTTTAGATACATATTATTATTCATCAGTTTAAATGACCTCCATTTAAAAATCTAATTGATAAATATACATATTACTAACAGAACCTGTGGCTTCGCTCGCACTATACTAGCAAATAAAACTCTAAAAAGTTCGGTTTCATACAAACTGTCATCCCCTATTTTACCGCCCCCTAATGGGATGAATTTCAAAAAATGCTAAAACACGTATTTATTTAATTGTATTTAAGACCATTAATGCCAAGTTTCAATTAGTTTTGAACATAAATATTTTTTGGATTGTCACGTTATACGTGTATTCCCGTGGGAATTGAATAATAATAATAATAATCTCCCGCGGTAAAAAGCCTATGTCACTCTCCAGCTCTGCAACTATCTCCATACAAAAGATCACACAAATCCGTCACTTCGTTTCGACGTGAACGAAGGACAAATAAAAAAACAAACAAACACACTTTCACATTTATAATATTAGTATGGATATGGATTATAGATGTTACTTGACGGCGCAGCGGCCAAAGGGATTTGAATTTTTTTTTCTCGGATTAACTTACGTTTTATCGACTTACCACTAGATTGGATCGGGTAAAACTAGTGGTAGGTCAAAACCTAAAATCAATTAACGCATGTGAAATTAATTATTTATACTAAATCCCTCGTTTTAATTAGAAAAATTGACGAATAAAACGATACTTACAATTATTATTCAGCTTAATAAAAACCACTGTCATCATTGTAAGAACAAACAAAAGACCAGATTTATTTATCCTTACTTCTTCCGCTCATATAGAGTTTTCATTTTAAAGTAACTTTTTTGTTTATGAAATAAAACAAAAATTGTTAATTTGTATTTTATTTTCAAGCAATATAATGTATTCTTTAAGCAAAATATGTTATCTTTGTTTGGGCACTTCAGGTGCTTCAGAATAAAATATTCACAAATGTTTCATTTTCCGAGATTGGGTGTTTCTACGGTATCTCCCCTTCACCTGATTAATTATTTCTTTAAAGATTTCGTTAGCTGATAAGGTTGAAATTCACTGTTATAATGTAGAAAAATATACTGAAAAAATACATGCGCTGTAGTAGCGTAGATACTATAGATTATAGAGGATTCGGGTTTGGTTTCCGAAAAAAATATATAAACATAGAAAGGAACGATTGAAAATAAAAAATATAAAAAATGTATATTAGGCATAGTGTTTTAGGGATTATTCAAGCAAACTACATACATATTTATTAAAGTAATTATTGTGAGGCCTTTCAGCAGTACAGAAGATGTACTGCGCTAACCCCAAGTGATTGGGAAATGGGCAGGGAGAAGAAGAATTATTGTGAGGCCATACATTTATAATTTTTACCAACATTCTAGGCCCAGTAGAAACGCCCAATTGACTGTTTCTACAGAAATAGTCTATAGATTTAGAAAAACTTACTGCCGGACAGACAGACACACGAGTGATTATATAAGGGTTCTGCTTTTCCTTGTTAGGATGGAACCCTAAAAAAGATATAGAAGCACCAGTTTAAAGCTGGGTAAAAGTATAAACTAGGTATAATTCGTCCATTAGTAGCAGGCAAGGGCTTGTCGTTCAAAGTTCAAACATTTATAAAAATAATATAATAAGGTACCTCCTTAATCGAACGATCACTCATTACGCTTAGATTGCCTGTTCTTATTAAAAGTTAGTCTCTACAATAATAAAAAAAAAACAAGGTTACCATGTAGCTTTATTACGTTCAACCCGTCTAGTCGTCCATCACTGTCAATCAATCACATGCAGTTATCTGGGCAGTGAAGGAGTTTTCTAAAATTTAAAGGTTTATCTATTTCGTATACGGTTAAATTCGACTTTACTTATTAAATCACGCAAGAAAAAAATCTACTGCGCAACAAAAAATGTACTAATTAATTTATTGTCCTCCTGACCGATTCCGGCCACGACGACCATACTCCGGTGGCACGACTACTCGACACGACTGGTGAGAGTTAAGGCGCAGGACCGACGCCTTTACGTACTCTCCGAGGCACGGGAGTAAAATACCGCCAACTTCCCAACTCCGGGCTGTTACTGAGCCACATATACAGAAAGACTCAATAACTAAACTTGGCTCGACCCGGGACTTGAACTCAGGACCTCCGGGTATGCAGTCGTACATGTTAGGCTCTACACCACCGAGGCAGTTAACAAAAAATGTACTGTGCAACAAAAAATACATTTAAGTAGATCACATCTTTAAATACAAATTAAAAATATCCTACTGATATAATAAATGGGAAAGTCTGTGAGGGTGTATGGATGTCTGGATGTCTAGATGAATGGATGTTTGTTATACTCTTTCACGCAAAAACTACTGAATGGATTTTCATGAAACTTTACAATAATATAGCTCATACATCAGAATAACACATGTTGCCGTGGGATAGATTTGTTATTAGTTTTCTATTAATAAAATCTTATTAATAAAATATATGTACATATAGGCAAGTTTTTTTGAACTACGTACTTTATACGTATATTAATTGAAACTTGAGATGTAAGCTTAATTTCATTAGCCATAAACGTAAAAGAAAATTGGCAGTTATTTTGTCCATAATATTCTTGAATTTTGGGCTGGTTTTTAAGACTCAAAATTTTAAAATTACGTAGGGTTAAATTTGAAATAAGATCTTGAATTGTGTCTTTAAAATTTTATTATACAAACATGCAAATTAATTCTTTTATGTCGTGTCTTTTATACCTACATATCATTTACCTATGCACTAAAATGAAGTGACCGACAATAGTGGTTTAGAGTATTTTTGTTAAACGTTAATACATACAGGCATCTTAATGTGATTTTGATGCTAATTCTAAAGGTAAAATAAATTATTGGCCTAAATATTAAAACTGGCCTAATGAATCTGATTCTCTGAAAAATTTCAAACATAATTCTACAGTGTAATCTTATTTTAACTGTAAATACCTAACCTAATTTTTACTGTTAAACATATAGGAGTCGATTTGTGCTATATATCTACTTAGGTTCCTTTCAGATGGCAAAATTTTGACGCGCGTTTTCAAATCGCGTGTCTAGACATCCTGGTACTTGCTTACCATCGATCACATGAGCTCGCGTTAACGCGGCGCTCAGAGAAAAAGTCTTCAGACGCAGGCGATCGCGCGTTGATGCGCGCTTTGATAGGTATGTAACATCCGTTTGCTGTTCGGTTGAGCGCGTGCTTCCAATAGATGAGTTGAAAAAAAAATATCGAATGATTTTATAGACATTCTGAAGTAATTAAAGAATTTAGATTCATTGTCTCTCATATTATTCGGATATGACTGAACTATAACTGTCTGTCTATTTTTCAAAATTGGGTTAACCCAATGTGTCTGTTTTCTTTTTACATCTTTTTTTGTAATATAACCACAAAATAATAGCCTCTTCCACGTCCATTTTATGGGCTCTTCGGAAACAAACTGACGAGCACTCGCAACGCGCCTTATAACTTGTCATCTGAACACTTTCTAAATTTGATCGCGTTGACGTGCGGTAACGCACGTTACATGTGAATTTAGCCTTAATCTACGAGTAAACGTTAATTACGAGACGTCACTCGACTATCGTGAATCTTGACATTGATGCAGATTCTATTTGAATATCTCAAATTGATTATTCAATGCTTCTTATTGATAGACGTTGGTTTGACTGTGAAATAGGAAGGACATTTGTGGTGTAATACGAGTATAGCATAATAGCACTATAATATAGTATTATTGATTAATAGAGATTGTAGTTTAAAATAAGGTAGTGATGTCTTCTAGACCTTTCTAAGGCAGTCAATGCAAAGTACTTACCAATAGCTTAGTAGTTTTTAAAAAAATGTTTTTAGAGGTACCTAACCAATAAAAATACCCAAAATTATAGTTATTAAAAAATTAAATGTATGTAAAATTATAGCCAAATACATTTTAGGTAAGACGTCTTGAATGGACCCTTTGCCACTGTAAGCTATACAATTAGGAATAAAAGCGTTATGAAAAATACTCCAGTTGCAGAAAGGAAGAAGAAGTTGCAGAAAGTAGGAGAAAGTTGAAAACTTCAAAAAAGTCCATTTAGTTAAACACATACATATTAAATATTATAGCACAACCCTAAAAGCTCTGCAATCAATAGTCTATAGCTCTTACTTTGGAGAGCCATCCAAATGCTGTCACCTAGCTACAATAAGTACTTAAAGCAATTTGATTAAGCGTCCGCCGGAACTAATCTTGGCAGTTTGACAATTTGTGCAAATATAGCTTTTAAATACTAAATTCCAATTAATACTTGTTCGATTATAATTGTTATTAACTAATGAATTACCCTTACTTCGTTCGGAGCATCACTAGGAACTTTATGTATGTATGTATGTATGTATGTATGTATGTATGTATGTATGTATGTTTGTACGTCTGTGAGTTTGTACGTATGTATGTATATATATACTAGCAGTATCCGCGGCTTCGCCCGCGTCCAAACTACCGATCGCTAACAAAATTCACACGATCACCCGCTGGGATAATGTAAAGATTACCTGAAAATTTCATCATAATCGCTCCAGCTGTTTTGGAGTTCATAGGAAACATACATTCACACATCGATTTTTATTTCATTTAATCAACAATTTAAATTTATTTATTGCTCGGAAAATGGAGTCTTATAAAAATTTAGTGACATCCCAACTGCAGCGCCACCTACTAGGTCTATTTGTATTTTCAAACCATCCAGGAACCCATTGAAATATACACACAAAATCTCATCCAAATCGGTCCAGCCCTTTAGGAGGAGTAGGTTAACAAACACACGTACAGAAGAATTATATATATTAAGATATATAATTTCTTATCTATAATAGTACAGTTATATTGTTTATTAAAATATCTATTCAATGGATTACAATGCCATCCTTTTAAACATTGTCGATGAAGTGACGAGTGAATATGTTTACTTCCACAATATCTGATTATATAAATAGGAGCGACGGGTGAATATCTGGTTACCCAGTAATATCTGATGGCGAGATAAGAGTCGAGCAGACGATAATGAAGGGATCGCCGCACAAAAGCCTATCTCTTCAATGAAATCTGAAATCAACTGCTGTTAGATCCGTTTATTACTAATCAACCACGTAATCAAATCTTAGAAGTGATCAATGTTTACGTGAAAAATCGTTTAAAAACATATCTCATTTTTAAAGGATTATCTAAAGATTTATGTTAACTCCTATTTTTTTTGTTTTAGTAATTTTACTACAAATTTAAAATAGTTAAACCGTCGATTAAAATAGCTGTGACATACTGACAAACGGGCATGATGAAATTGTAAAGTTTCCGTTTTTGTATTTTTGCTATGGAATCCTAATACAGAATAAATAAATACATACTGGTAGAATAAACGATTATTACATAACATTCATAGGTATATTATTTATAATCTGTTATTATTTATATTAATGCCCCAAATATAATTCGTTGTTTATTAATGCGTTACTTATTTATTTATGATCTACGAGTTCACGAGGGCAGTTGCTAAAAATAGCACTCGAGCTTGGAAAAAAGCCGGATGTGCGCAAACCTAAGTAGTTTCATCGGATGGATACAGAAATATTTCATCTCGTTTTTAGATTTGAGTCACGTTCTATCTTTCAATTTATATGCTCACAGCAAGTTGGCACAACGCTCAATTCTACGACTTCCTTTACATCGGGTTAGGATCGTTCACATAAAAAAAACCCTTCTATTATGAGGGTTTGACCTAGTTCCACTATCATTGTCTGTGGAGCTACATTGGCTAAAGTTGATAGATGTTTTAGTACGTTATTTAGTGTTGCTTACTAGGTAGAGATTTATTTCCTATAATGACTTACCTCGCTTTGCTCGAGTGCCTCCCTAGGTACCAGTGCCGGATTTAACATTAGCGCCGCCCGGGCACTGTAAAAAATTATTATCGAAAAATAACAAAATTTAAAAAAAATATATCGAAAAAAACTATTATCGAAATTTTGAATAAAATATTGAAAGTTTAATTTTTTTTAATTATATTTTTTTTGGAAAAAGCAATAAAATAATCTAGAAATGATCGGTATGCATTTTTCGAAAAAGATACCAACTAGTTAATTTTTTTTATTTTACATTTATTATATAATAAAAAAAGCATTTTCGATAGGAAGATGAAGAAAAAATTTTTCCGCCCTCCGAATTTTGCCGCCCCTAAAAATTTGCCGCTCTGAACACTAGCCCCGAGTGCCCCTAGTGTAAATGCAGCGCTGCTAGTTACGCAGATTTTGTTCGCAATTTCATGAGATTTAATTTTTTTGCGCGGAACTCTAATCCTTTTTCTTAAATAAACGTAGCCTAGGTTACTTCTCATAGCATCAGCTATTTGCCACTGAAAGTCTCAGCAAAATCAGTCTAGCCGTTTCGGAAGTTAGTCGAAACAAATAGACAGACAGACATACAAAATTATTTAAATTATTGTAAGTACCGTATTTACTTTCATATGTAAATATTTATTAAAAAGCTGTTATTTTGACATTACAAACAGACACTTCAATTTTATTTATCTGTATAGATTACAATATATAAATACTTCTGGCTAGCGATTTCACTGATGCGTCTATGTGAGCTCTATTGATTAAAATCAAAATTAATATAAAATATAAAATTAAAATCTAATTCATATTTAGAATATAGTTATTTTATTATTGACTATTTCTTTCCCGCGGTTTTGTTCGCAGGTTTATAGATAAGTAATATAAGCATAATAACAAAATGTCTCCATCCTAAATTTTACTCAAATCAATCGAGCAGTTATAGCGTGAAGAAGAAACAAACACACTCTCATACATTTTGCATTTATATTAACGTGATTTCATACTTTTTAATACAATATCAATTCTTCTTTTTGACTGTCTGCTTGTGACCGCATCACGGAAAAAACCACTGGAGGGATTTTGATGAAATTTTGTATGATGATAACTGTTTATCCGGGTCAACTTATAGGATACTTTTTACTGCGGGAAAATATATCGTCTCTGATAAATCATTACAAAAGCAAATTACTTACTGTTGAAATTTAAAGTAGTACTCTTATTTTATTCAGTAATTCACTAAAAACATTAGCGCGCCTAGCCTTTTAACTTGTGCATTCTATCGAGTGAGAATATTGCCTGCCCCTGTCACGTAAATTGATAT